GTTCTAGATTTTCTTCCTGATCAAAACTTTGACGTCCCTGGGGACAGCGTGAAAGTGGGTGTGACTCCCAGCCCAGACGATGGGACACTGCGGTACAGGCACAGGGCAGGGTTCCCACATCCCCTACCTACTAGCAGGGGGATCCGGGCAAGTCGGCCTCTTGGGCCTCACTTTCCTCCCCTGTGTAAAGGGAATCATTTTGGCCCATACCTTATAAAGCCTGTTCTGACAAGTGAGTGAGATAATCCATGTCAAGGAACCTCTAACGATGCTGACATACGGTAAATGCAGGAAATATCGATCGTGGCTACAGTATCCACAGTGAGTAACCTTGAAATCATCAGGGGAGACAAATTGGGTCGTCTTGGAGCTCAGTATGTGAGAGTTAAGCCACATAGAAATGCATTCAGAAATGTGAGAATTCTTGAAAGTGGGAGTTCTCCATTAGTCTCGCATAAGTAAATTGTTGCTGGAATGTGCTGGAATGCTAAGTGAAGTCATGCTTGAGAATTGTGTCTCCTTTATAAATGATGTCTAAAGGACTTGAGTAGTCTTATGGCATTGATTCCAAGCAGCACGCTGTCCACATTTGAGCATCTCTGAATCAAGATGCCTTATAAGCAATAGTGTGTCATATCTAACAGACTGTTGTTTTTTTCTTAGTAGTACCTAAAATAATACAAAATAATTGGTGACATCTGATATTCAATAAAATACGTCCATTTTTTTGTTGTTCATTTTGGGGCTGGGGAGGCTTTGGCCTGTGGGTTGGTTTGTGTTTTTTTTTTTGTAGTTATTTTATTTCTAGTAATTGGAAACACCAGTATTCTCAAGAGCATCATTCATCAATGTTTAACTACAAATTTGTTTCCCAACCTCGGATAGTTTTCTATAATCTAAGCCATTTGTGGGGGGAAACCGAAAAATCAGTATTTCTGTCAGTGTTTTATATATTAATGTCATAAAACAAAAAACCACTATCATATATTAAAATCTCTATGTGTGTATGGGCGAGCAGTTTACTTATAAATCCAACTTATTCTTTTGTAATGCTCGACTAATTGATCATCAAATACTACTATCATATCAGTAATTAATGTAACAATGTAAACACACATTTATATATACATGTAACAACTATAATAAGAGAGTGTTCCATTTATTTAACTATTTTCACTCATCAAATCTCTTAAAAAGATTCAATTCAGGCTTGTTGGTATATTAAAAAGTTACAAAGTTCATTAATGAATATAAATTCAATGCAATTTCCTGCCTATGGTTTTAAAGGTGCATTTTAATTTAATATTATGTTCTTCTAAAATTGATACATGGCTATCCATCATTAGAAAATGCCCATCTAATTATGAAGATTTTAAAGCTACCTCATCCTCGAAAGAAAAGGCACCTTTTGCCACTAGATGCTGTTGTAAAATCTTTTAGAAGCTTGAAAAGCATATTACTTAAAGTTGTGTAATTTTTACACTTAAAAATTTGCAAATAATTTTTATTTTTTAACAGTTTATTTTCTAATTTTTTATTGTGGTAAAATACAAAAAACAAAATTTACTATCTTCACCATTTTAAGTGTACATTCAGTAGTACTATGTAGGCATCATATGTCTATACAGTATACATTTTTAAACTTAACATTATGTAACAAATATTTTCACATATCATTAACTATTGTTCAATATCCTTTTATGATTGCACTAGAGGCCTGGTGCACAAATTTGTGCACAGGTGGGGTCTGGCCAGCCCACCATGATGGGGCCGATCTGGCTGGGCAGGCTTGGGGGAGGGGCCCCAGGCTGTGGGTCGGTCCTACCCTCTGGTGGAACTTTGGTGGAACTCCTGGTTGAGGGGACAATTTGCATATTACCCTTTTATTATATAGGATGATATTTTCTTTTTTGAACAACTATTCCTTAATTGTTGGGCATTTAGGTTGTTCCAAATTCTTTTAATGTTATGGAATATCAAGCGTAACACTGATACACTTGAGGTACTACTGAGAAAGATGAGCATCATGGTGACGTGCCAAGTGAATTAGACAGCAATATCCAAACCAGAGAGAGCCCTAGGTGAAAAAACATAAAGGAATGGTGGGTATGAAAACTATGGTGTTAAAGCCTTGGTAGGACTTGGTAAATGATGGACACTCATGAGGCCTGAGTCAAGAAACACCTCAAAGTTTAATTTGTGTGATGGGGAAAATTAATGCCACAGACAGAAATCATCGATTTGGGAGAGAGGCTTGTTGGAGGGTAACATTTAGCATGACATTTACCATGACCGTGATGGTAGGTCAGCTGAACTGAAGCTTTGATAGGCTCTAAGGGTTAAAGATTTAAGTACAAGTCATAAATGAATAAAGAATATAACGGTGAACCCATGGCAATAATTGATACACTTGAGGTGACTCCACACAGGTGGAGGAAAAGCATTGATGTTTTCAGGAGAGACCCACGTTTTTATGAAAAGGACCAAGAATCAGTAAGAGTAAAGTTGAGAGAGAGAGAGAGAGAGAGAGAGAGAGAGAGAGAGAGAGAATGAGAACTCAGGTAATTGGGTTGTTGAGAGCCCAGAGGAAGAGAGCATTAAGAATAAATTCCACAATGCTAAGAACCACAGGCATCTATGCTGAAGACAAGCTATGGAGAGGTTAACTGTAATCTTAACAAAAATAGTTTTTCCCCACTGGTGATAGGACCCTAAGCCAACATTTGAGACATCTGGGGGCAAGTGGGTGGTAACTATGATTTTGAAAATTTTGTGGTGAAAAGAAGAAAAAGAAAATGTGCATCTGAGGAGGTGGGCAGGTGGGCAGTGGGTGTGGGTGTGGGTGTGCCCTCGTACTGTGCTGCTGCTTCAGTACCTCCCTTCTCCTTCCCAGCTTGTCTGCTTTCACAAAGCCAGCCCTCCACCAGAAAGCTGCCTACGAAATAGAACAAAAATGCATGCATATAGACAACTCTCCTTGTTTGCCTGAATAGTATTATTTGAAGAAAAGAAAGAAATCCTCTACCTTTTTTACAACCTTCAAAGGAATCATTTATTCAAGGGGGGGTAAAAATCTTTTTTTCAGGCAACCACTGAGGAAATGGAACCCAACAGCCAAGAAGATGAGAAAGATGGTGAAAACCTAAAAGAAGGGAATACAGAACTTGCCTCATCAGGTTTGTTCCCTAACAGACTAGTTTTAAGGTAAATCATGATAACTCCTAAGATATAACAGTCAAGAAATAGAGTCAAGAATTCCTCCTAAATGAGCCACAGAAAGGTAGACTCTAAAACTGGCGTGGGGTTGTGCTGCCACCTAGAGGCTTCCTGGGGAAATTCTGACTATGATTTATCTGGCGCTAAAAACCTTGCTTTGCTTTGTTTTCTTCAAAGTGTATCTCCATCCTCATAAATAAGATTATATTGCCCCAAATAAATAATGGTAAAAACTGAGGATCCTATTTTAACACACAGTAGCAAGCAATAGATAAGACAGGTTAAAAATATATATCATAAAAATAGACACTGAAATAATAAAGCTGGTGAATAGTTTAAAATAATAGTTAGAATAAAGTAATGCCACAGATAGGAATATTTCTTGAATGAATCCTTTTCAATATTTTCAACACATTTCTTATTTTGATAAACATAAAGGCCTTTCACCCTCTTCCAATTCCAAATTAGTTTTAAATGATGTTAGAATAAATGAACTGTCATTACTAAAAATTGCAAACTAGATTATACCCCCTCATTCTGATAGGCCCCTCAGTGGGTGGCTTTTCCACCCACTCTAGAGTGTGCCTACTTCTTCTCTGTATATCAAAGAGCACTTTGTTTTCATTGCATTGTGTATACTATGAAGTCCTCAACACATCCCAGTTATGAACCTGTGGTGATAAGAAGGAACACTGGGATACAGAAGGAAGAGTCAGGCTGCCACACAGTCCTTTGGATGGAAACTCTCTGGAGATGTCCGCCCACCCAGCCCGCCTATCAGAGCATTTTGTCTCGTGCAGTGTTATTCCTATGTAAACTCTGGCTCTTATCAAGAACTCACGTTTTTCACAGTGGGATTCTTCAATGTTTTTATGTTGCTTGGTGTGTTTTTTTATAATAGCATGGAAGAGCCTAGAGAACACTGGCATCTTTGGCTCCTTTAGACACCTTGTCACATGATAATTCAACTTGTTAAGTTTCTGACTGTAACTCCATTTCAGAGCCACAGCATTTTACAACTACTGTGACTCGCTGCAGCCCGACCGCGGCCTCGGTGGAATTTTCCTCCAGCCCCAAGCTGAGGAGCGATGTGCCAGAAGAGAGAGACCAGAAGAAACCGGAAAATGAAATGAGTGGGAAGGTGGAGTTGGTGCTGTCACAAAAGGTGAATTGCGCCGTGGATTAAAGCAGTCACATTTACATGAGCATGGCTTCACAGGGCCGTGGGCTGCCACTGGGACACTTGTTCATCATGAGGACTTAGTTTCTCTTCTCATCTTTTTTCTGTCCTTAATCTGTATTTTTCTAAATGCAAATATACTAGATGTTCATTGTAAATAATTTAAGTACATGCAGGAAGATGGGTGCATTAGCCCACTTGGGTTGCTGTGAGGGAGTACCACAGAAGGGATGGCTTAGAAACGACAGACATTTATTTCTTACAGTTCTGGCGACTGGGATGTCCAAGATCAAGGCAGATTTGGTGTCCGGTGAGAACACACTTCCTAGTTCACAGATGGACTTCTCATGTGTCCTCACTTGACAGAAGGGAGCGAGGGAGCTCCCTAGGGTCTCATTTGTAAGGGCACAATCCCACTCATGAGAGTTCTGCCCTCATGCCCTAAACACCTACCAAAGACCTTTTATACTGTTACCTTGGGGGTTAGGATTTCAACATATGAAGTTTGGGGGGCACAGACAGTCAGTCTATAGTATATATTTTTTAAATTTGTATTTATAGTGATGTACACATAAATATGTAATAAGTCTATCAAGTAATATATGTACATTTATTTTAAACTAAATATAAATAAACATAGACATAGAGTAAGAGTGAGAAAAAGTCACAGAAACCTACCTCTCTACTAGTAATAATTGATATATATATATATATATATTCTTTCTACATCTATTAAATTGTATTTAAACAATCAATTCTAATTATGAATAATTAGATGTGTATTTTAATGTGATATTCACATAAATTATAAAGCTTTGAAGTCAGGTTTTGGTTTGTTGTGTATGAGCTTGGTTATTCTCGGCTCAGTAAAGATTCTCCTTCCCATATTTAGCTATTTTATAGCAGCATACTTCTGATGCCTCCGGATTTGAACAAGGAAACTGGAAACTTATTATTCTGATATAATGGGTTTTAACATCTATTTTTTATTAACTTTCTTCCTTGTTTGAAGTCTCATTCTCTTCAGAGTAATTTGTTTTGTTTTCAGGCAGAGTCTAAAAGTTTTCATCTTTTATACCAATTGTTCTCAACCTTGGCTACCTTTTAGAACTTAAAAATACACCAAGCATCTCCAGCTCAGATAAATCAGAATTTCTGGGGGTAGGGCCCAGGCACCTGTATTTTTAAAAGCTCCCCATGATTCAGATGGGCCACCAAGGTAGGGAACCACTGATGCCTATGGGCATACTGCCTGTGGTGATATTTCAACTTTAAAACTTAACCCTAAATTTTGATTTGACTTTACCACTTATACATCTGGTTCTTCCATCATTTAGTCAACCAATATTGACTGTGTACCTACTATGTGCCAGGCACTATCTACTATGTATTAGACAGTGGCTATTCAATGGTGACCAAGACAGGGCCCCTGGCATTAGGGAGCTGAGAGTGCCGTGTCCTTGGTAGAGTCTCCGAAATGCCCATGGCCTTGATGCCTTTTGGAAATTTCTGGCTCTAGCTCCCCCCTTTTTATACAGAGAGAATTAAAGAATGGTCTGGAGGTCTTGAAAGAGGAACTAAACTGTGGGAAAACATTGGGGGCAGGCAGGATTTCCTGTCTTTGCAGGTTTTGCCTGATCTATGTTACACTTCATTATTTAGTATTCTTCCAAGTTGACTTTTTGTTCCATTTAAATCTAAACTGAAAGGAGAACTCTACTTCATAGCTAGAATTCTTTTAATCAAACAGAATGAATGTCATAACTAAAGAGTGTTCTTCTGCGTACCTTGTCTGTGAACCTCACTTGTGAGCCATCTTTGGACCACAAGTGTCACATCTACCCTGTGGAAAAATTGTTTTCAGGGTCTTAACTCTGTGTGTGTGTGTGTGTGTGTGTGTGTGTGTGTGTGTGTGCGCGCGCGCACGCAGTTTGTTGTGATTGGTGGTGGTGGTTGTTGTTGTTTGGGTGTTGTTTTTTTACCAATTGGTACCAAGTACATACAGCCCCTGAATTCTGTTCTATGGACTCCAGCTTAAGAATTTATGCTAGTTGATTAACAAATGGTGTAATGGTCTTTGAACACATTGCTTTTCTTCCACCATGTGAATTTCTTTCCTTTCTCCTTTCCCTCCTGTACAGTTAGCGCTTAGAAAAAGGGAGAGAGGTGATGGATGTGAGCGTTGTCAACTTATTGCATGTTTAGTTAATACTGAAGTTCATTTAGCTATCTGGTTGACTTATCTAATGTAGAATGAAGTGATTAAACGTATTTTCTTCAGGATTCCATTAGAGTTGGATATATTATTTATAAGAAAAAAATAGGTGCCCAGCCAACGTGGCTCAGTGGTTGAGCATCAACCTATGAATCAGGAGATCCAGGTTCAATTCCCTGTCAGGGATCATGCCCAGGTTGCAGGCTTGATCCCCAGTAGGGGGCGGGCAGGAAGCAGCCATTCAAATGATTCTCTCTCGTCATTGATATTTCTATCTCTCTATGAAATCAATAAAAATATATTTAAAAAGAAAAAATAGAATCCTATCAAGAAGAAATTGTAGACATTAAATCGTCGTGAGGACCAAATCATAGATCAGCTTATGATGAAACACTGGTCTCTCTATAACCTTGCTTGCCTTATTGGCCATCACATGAATCTGTTGGGAACCCAGCCTCCAGCCAGAGTGAATCAGAGGAAATCCTGTACGCAGCTGGAAGGACACGAACTGATCCAGCCCTGCTCCTCATTCAGATCTTTGCTCAGAGTCTACTGATTATTATTTTAGACATTAGTTTGGTAATCTGGTCTCTCAGTTGGTAAGAAACAACAAATCAGAAAGAAAGGCCTTCTACCAAAAGCCATTCAGATTGGGAGAAACAAGATAAAATTAAATAGTAATAACAAGAAAATTCTACTTTTATAAAACAAATGTAAGAATTTATAAATTGGGGACTATTTACCATAGGACAAGTAATCTAACATGCCTCAAAACCCCCTAAGGGCATCATTGCTATGGAGCTCTCTGATGATGGCTGTTTATAATAATGTTTCTGTGTCACCAGGCAAAGTATATTATCTTTAATGTGTTTTGCATGAATTGGATGGGGGGTTGTGTAGTGTCTGAGAATAATGTCCATTAGAAGGTAATATTACCTTAGTATTTAGCACTTATGTAGTAAGGGGGTATTTTTTAGTCTTATATGGAACATCTCACATCCTGACATTATGTAGCAACAGGGAGAGACTGTGTGATTTATCAATAAGAAAATGAGACAGGATGATGTATAATCCCAAAGACGAAATACTGTCTTCTGGGTTTGGGAAAAAAGTGATCATAAAATTTTTATATGCTCTCATTTGATACCTCTGGAAAATTGACCTCTACATTAAAGTAGAAAAGCATGAATGGGGATAGAAAAATGGGGCCAATTTTCCATTTAAAAGTTAGATGTTTGGGCTTACTGACTTATGTGATTGCCGTGGATTCTTTCATTTTATTTTGCCTGTGTCTTTGCTAATAGACATGTTTGTGTCCATTGCTCCTGAACCAGGTGGTAAAGCCAAAGTCTCCAGAACCAGAAGCAACCCTGACGTTTCCATTTCTGGACAAAATGCCTGAAACCAACCAGTTACATTTGCCAAATCTCAATTCTCAAGGTAAAGAGAAGGAAATGCTTTATTTCAGTCCTACATGTTCTCCTGGGCCCATCTGCAGTGAAAAAATACTTCATGTGAATGAGGATTACTTCCTTTATGTTGATGTCCCTTTGGCCATAGTGTTTGCAGAGCCCGGTGGCTAGATTACTGATTTCAGAATAGAATTCTGGGGCTGCATTCTCTGTGGCCCAGCCAAGAACCCCAGCTGCCAAGACCATTTTGCCAGCCGGGCACCATAGGCATGATAAGGCCTACACAAGTGTTTGATTCCTTAAAATAATTTTATTGTCTCTAAAATGGGAAAAAAATAAATAACGTTAACGAAAAGTTCATAATCTTAATATTATATCAACTCCATTAATTGTTAATTTTGTAGTCTTTATAAAATATCCACTTGACAATAATTTTTGAAGAAAGTCAGACTTTCTTACTTCATAATAATTGCTGGGTATGCACCGAGAAATTATTCCACATTGTAGGTTAAATGTATTACTCATAAGCGAGAACTTTAATCTTTCCCAAAATTGTTATAGCAAGAATAGATCTGTATATACAATAGGTCCTCGGGTTATGTCGGAGAGCCAATGTAATGCGATTTTCGCCGTAAGTCGGACCCACCTACATAAGCACCTCTGTCACTCACATGGAGCACAGACACAGAAGTAATGAAGTGAAACAGTAAAAAAAATTTAAAAGAAAGATAACAATTCCTGACCTTTACTTGTGTGTAATAAATAATTAAAAACATAAAGCATATTTGTACATATGTCGAAATGACGGAACTTTTTTTTTAATACATAAATGGGAGATGACGACGTAACCACTAAATGACATACTTCGAGTCTGATGTAACCTGCAGACTACCTGTATATATATTAAATACATGTATATGCTGAGGGTATATTTTACTATGTTTCATATGTTTGATATAATGTGTGGAGGGGTGGCCTCTAAAAAGATAGGAGTTTAGGGCCTATGGGAGTTGTAAAAGGCACTGACGACTGCAAATGTCTATGTGTCATGTGACACATAGTACCTTTTAGGTACTATGTCATTTGTACCTTTTAGGCCATGTGTAGGTTGTGAGTTTATCCTGTACTATTTAAGAGCCCAACTTGAACCCTTTATCCAGGTGAGACATCTAGATGCCCACAGTCACCCCAAAAGGAGCCTTAGTGATGAGAGCAGTAGGGGGATGTCCTAAGAAGTCCATGACCCATAGGGACTATTCTTCAGAACAGACCACTGGGCTTTACTGGTGTGAGTTCTCTCTAGATATGAAAACAGCTAAGCTTTGGAAGCAAGAATTGTAAGGTATCTTGCTTTTCTTCTTTACTGTACTTTCCCCAATTTATTTTATAGGTCGAGCAGTCCTGGCGAAGAGAGGATAATATAAGCATAACATGGCTGGGGATTTATTTTTACTTTTTTTTTTACAAGGGTGGTCAGCTGTTTGGGGTAGAATCTGAGTTGGCTTCCATTAACCTTTGTTGAGGGCTGAGAGATAAGTTGGGCTCTCTCTACATAACAGGGAAGTACTTGGGAAGGAATTTATCAGAACATGCACTGATGAGCACTAGTTTCTTAATGTGGAAACAAGTTCAATACTGTCTTCAAAACATGTATTTTAATTTTTTTGGTCCTACTGAAGGGAATTGACAAAAATAGTCTTATAACTAGGCCAGCAATTGGCCATATTTAGACAAATTTAAATTCTACCCTATTCCTAACTCTTTGTCATTGTGCCAATAAGGAATGCAGAGAGGAAATTGTTATTTTTAAGTCATAGTAGTTAGTTTTATTGTCTGGTTCATGGAAGCTGTAATAACAGCTGCAGGCTCTGGAGACAGAACATGCGGGTTCCAATCCTTACTCATTCAGATCTTACCTGTGAGCTCTTCCCCACCAAGTTCTCCGGAACTTGTACACTGGAAATAATAACAGTACCAACCTCATAGGGGTATTGGAAGGATTAATTGAGATAAACCAAAAAAAGTGTTTAGCTCAACACAAGCACTCATAATAGATTCTGGTAATTACGGCCATAATAGAATCAGGCAGTAAAATATTATAAATGCTTCCCTTAAAATAAAGTTGTTTTTGTTGGGGAGATAGGGATTTGAGTAGTAATTTTCAAACATGATTATATGCCAGGGACCTGGGCAGGATGGGTTAAAGCACAGATAGCTGACCCCCAGTCCCAGTCCCGCAAGGACTGAGGCCACAATATTTGCAGAGTTCCCAGAGGGATATGATGCTGCAGATCCAGGGACCACACTCCGAAGAAAGACCACAGACTTGAAATATGTGTTTAAATTGTGCTCCAAAGACATCGCTGATAGATACAGAAATAACAGTAATATTTGTTTAGAATGTACAAATTCATATCTTTCATGAAGCAAAAGGCCTCTAATAAATGTAATCTTAAACGCTATGATTTGTCTTTATGTGGAGGGACAGGGAAAGTATAGGTCGTTGCCCAGATATAAAAAGGCAGTGCACCTGTAACTGACTAGTCTGAGGTCACACCTCAAGTCCAAAAGAGCTATAGGTCTAAGAGGGGGAATCCTGGAGTCATACCTAGTACTTGCTCCCCCAGACGGTCTATCTCCCTCATTTCCATAAAGCCGTCTATTCATAGGCTGATTTTAAAGGCCACTGGGTCCTAACGTTGTTCCATAGACTTCCCTTAAATATACACACATGCACAAATAGTCTTTAATTATTCTGAAAACCTTCATAAAATACATTTAAAGAGGACAAATTTCCTTTTCTCAACTCTCCCAACAGTAGCAAGATACCTCAAACTGGTGTTTCAGGAAAATATGTGCACGTTAAAATGCATACTGGCTAGCTGTATTTCTTTTGTGCAAAAAAATCCATTATTTGCATTGAGAATGATGACAGATGGGCACAGTGCTAGCTTCAGGATGCAAATGAGCTTGTGTCTGCGTGAGGCTGTCACATGACACGTAGACATTTACATGCTCTTATTACACACACTAGAGGCCCGGTGCACAAAATTCATGCACGGGTAGGGTCCCTAGGCCTGGCCAGTGATCAGGGCCGATCTACGGGGCAACTGGCAGGGCGATCAGGGCCCCTCCCCCCCCCCGCCTTGGCTGGCCTGGGGCCTGTGGGCTGGGGGCAGCTCCTGCATTGAGCGTCTGCCCCCTGGTGGTCAGTACACATCATAGTGACCGGTCGTTCCACTGCTCATTCCACCATTTGGTCAATTTGCATATTAGGCTTTTATTAGATAAGATATATAATTTCTGCCACAGATTTCCATGCATAACTTTTATGAAGTGTATACAATAATAACAGCTCATCTCTGCTGTCTTTTATATTTTTCTAGTGTTTTCCAAAAGCAATGCACACTGTGCATTTTGCTCTTTCATAGCATATCATCTTATTATCTTGAGATTCAACATTTTAACAATATCACCTTTAAGTATGAACCTATTAAATGTCACCTGACATCAAAGAAGATAGGCAATAGCATGAACTGTCTCATTTCCGTTGACTTTTGTCCATGTCTTAAGGGTGCGTGTGAGTTTTACTGAGATATTTTATACTTCAGATGCTTTCCCTCTCCGTTCTTGGATAGCCACCCCTGGGCCTGGGATTTGGGAGAAGGTTCTACACAACTCTCACCCCTGTTCTCATGATTTTCTGTTTGTTCCGTTCTACCATCTGATCTAGAGTCGCCTGGCACTGCCAGCCTTCCGCTTAGAGTTCAGAACTCTTGGCGACGTTCCCAGTTTTTCTCCCAGTCAGGTAAAATGCATACTGGCTAGCTGTATTTCTTTTGTGCAAAAAAATCCATGTTGCGGGCAACCAATAATGTCTGGTATTTTTCTTCATTTCTGACCTCAGGGGGGGAAAAATGCTTCTTTCTGGCACACAGTTAGCAAAGAGCTAGTTCTTTGATGTCAGTTCCAATTATACTAAAGTTGGAGGGGAAATTCACAGAATTTTACTTTGATTTTGAAAATCTAAAGAAATAATAATATTTACCTCTTTATTATCTTTTTCTTTAAAAAAACAACAACAAAGATTAGAAGCGTTTACCAGGAGCATGGTTCTCTTGTTAACTGTGTCCCTCTCTTTATTTCCTGGTGACATTTGGCCTCTCTCTGTATGAAGCTTCTCCCTGTCAGACAAGGAGGGAACTGTCAATCAAGCCAGAATGCAAGGTGTATTGAAAACCAGCACTCGTAGGAATAGATTTTGCTTCCTAGTGCTTAGTACTGGGTGCTAATTGATATCGTCAGTCTTCTTACACTGGTCCTGACTACTTTTGGTGATGGGTACCAGCTGCTTCAGGGGTCTGCTTTATTCTGATCTTCTCATCCTTTTGGCTTCCAAAAAAAATTGGTTTGAAGCTGACATAGGAGCCACACTCCACTGAGAGGATCAATGAGAAATACAGTACAAAGCTACTCACGCTGGGTTCTTCTTTTTCTTTCTTTCTGTCCAGGGGATCCTCCCAGCAGTGAAAAGTCACCTGCAACTACACCTGTAAGTACCTCATGTTAAAGAATGAACTCATGCATTTAGTGTGATTTTAATTACAGAGTATTTGATTCGCTTACAGAAGATCCCATAAAAAAAATGGGCTTCAAATGATTGTAAAAGAATAGGTGAAAGCCATGCATATGCTGCCAGGTGAATTAGGAAGATGTGAGTTATCATTATGCAGAGCTGTGATCTGGAAGCAAAAGGGTAAGTGAGTCAGGGAAGTAAAATCTAAAAGAAGCAATTAAAATGCATGTGACAGTAGGAATTAGTATTAAAATATGCACTTTCTGGAAGCATCCAAAATCTTTTTTTTTATGAGAACAATCATTCAACATAGTTAAGTTGGCAGTAGGTAGGACCCAACCTGGACTCTTTCTGCAAGACCCAAGCTGTCTTTGCTGCGCCCCTTGTCGCAGTCAGTACCTTGAGTAATAGTAACCACACGTTCAGTTTTCAATTTTTTATTTCAGTGACATAAAATAAGCATTTGCTAGTTAAAGTGTCCAGACATGTGCCACTGTCAAAGGCCATGCTGCTCGATTTTATCTGGACACTTTCTGCGGACCTGGCTCTTCTCTAGACTGGGTGTTTCCAGGGCTGAGCCTGTCACCCTTGCTCACCCTTGAAATTCCCGCCCGATTTGTAGAATTCAGTTCCTCTGTGGCTCAGTCAGCCAGCACAGAGCCCTTGGGTGCAGCCGCAGAATCACCGTTGTGCCTTTGAATCTTCTCTGAACGTTATCTTCCTTGACTGTACCCCAGGCTCTTCCCTTTCTCCCTAACTCTCCCACCCTCAGCTCACTTTTTCTTTCAAGATTCTCAAGCCGTTTTAAGTGTCTCCCCAAATTACCCTGCCAGGGAGAAGGGAGGAAGTACAGTTATTGGGGAACTTGGTTTGCCTCAGCACCTGCTCTGGGTGATGGGGGAGCCAACTTTCAACACTGCAGCCCCCCTTTTGCTGATTCCCCAGGGACCAGCTAGGATTTCTCCCCCACACCCCGCCCTCCTGGACCCTCTCAGTCTTATACCCTGTGGCCTGGGTGTCTGCTTTGACTCATGCATTTTTCTCCCATTATTTCTGTTCACTGACTTGGTTCCCAAACTCACAAAAAACTTTCTTAAAAGACAAAAAAAAAAGAGTCTGACTGTTTGCTGTGTGGGTTCCACAGCAGGGGCTCCCCATTGCCTGATCTCAGGGGACACTGGTGGGCAGTGGTGAGTGGTTAGAGAAGGCCAGAGTGGGCAGCAGCATAAGAAATGATGCAGTTCCACAGCGCGGCAAGCGTCACTTCTCACAAGACACAGCTCTGCTGAGATCAGCGGTCCCATTTGCCCGGACCCGGGATCAATATGCAGAATGAGTATCTTACGCTCCCGAGCGTGAATACATTTAAGAAATCGCTTCTAAAAGAAATGAAGCAAAAGCCTGCCCGTGCCAGGGGCTAATTACTTCGTGTTTTCATTAGCTCCCAGAAGGTTCGCAGAATCCTATCAGCCTCTTGGAAGGGAACCAAAGAGGGACGAAGATTAAATAGCGGTGCTGCCAGCAAAGAGGACCTTTAGATAGACGAAGGCTGTGCTTGTGTGTGTCCATCGGGTGCCGCCCATAGGCCACTTGTGTCCCTCGCCCTGGCCAGGCCTTGAGGACGTGGCTCAATTCTGATCATGTTTTTATTTCCTAAGCAGTTCAAGTTCTGGGCATGGGACCCGGAAGAGGAGCGCAGGCGACAAGAGAAATGGCAGCAGGAGCAGGAACGGCTGCTCCAGGTAAGACAACTGCGTTCGCTGCCTTTTTTTTTCTTTTCATTTCTTTTCTTTTCTTTTTTTTTTTCTTTTTTTTTTTTGATGCTCTCTTAATTTCTGTCGTATTAAATTGACTTTTAGCACAGGAAAAACATGGAATTGAATTCTTCTCAGAAATCAGTGAGTCTGTTAGTTCATTTTGCAGATATAATGCCCTGTGTCTAATTCCTCAAACTGAGGTTATATGGATGAACACAAGGAAAAAGCATTTCACTTTAAAAAAAATTGTTTAACTTCCAAGTATTGATTAACGGTCAACTCAGGCAGTCCTCACCTCCTTTGTTGTCAATAAAATTCCAGTTCCAGCAGCAGTGAAAATGAATTGTCAAAAGCTTTTTTGTTGTTGTTAATCCTCACCCAAGGATATTTTTCTGTTGATTTTTAGAGAGAGTGGAAGGGAGGGGAGAGACAGAGAGGGAGAAACACCCATGTGAGAGAGACACACGGATTGATTGACTCCCGCATGTGCCCCAACCAGGGCCTGCAGTCGAGGTGCATGCCTTGATCAGAATGGAGCCGGGGCCCTTCAGTCCACAGGCCGATGCTCTATCCACTGAGCCAAACCTGCTAGGGCTATTAAAAGCACTTCGAAAGCATCCATGTGAAATCAAATTTAGCCTGGCTCTTGTTTCTTAAGTAGAAATATTTGCTCCCTCTTTGAGTAAAAACTTTCATTTCTAGAAAAATTCTGGGAGTAAATGGCTCATGTGCCTACTTGTTTTATGCCATGCTTGTTAGGTAACAGGGCTTCAAAAAGGAACCGAGTAACCTTAGGAAGTAGCCTCTGCTGAGTCCTTGAGATGTGCCAGGAACTGTGGTTGGTGTTTGACGCCTTTTATCTAATTTAATTTTCATAAAAGTCTTCAGAGTATATCTCATTAGCCCCCATTTGCAATTGAAGAAACTAAGACTCAAAGAAGTTAAATTAATAGCACAAGGTCACCCAACTAACAAGGGCTGTACTTGGTTTCAAATCCAACTTTGATGACTTTAAAACTCATGTTCTTTCCATGATACCCCTAGTAGCACTGATTTTACCCCCCAAAAAATCATAAATAAAAAGAATTTTAAATCTCATTCATTTTCATGGCTTTCTGCTGCTGTGTAGAAAGCAATGCTCCATGCAAGTTTATTTTACTTTTTTAAAAAATACTTTTGTTCTAATCCCTTTGGCTTACTTCCCGAGGGGCAGGAGCAGGATCCGTTTAGATAGCCAGCTATTTGTAGTGTGGCGTTAGGTCTGCCAGTTAAATCTTACACTTTTCAAAACTGCATGGAGGTGAATCTTCACTATCAAAATGTTAATAAGAACCGGATTCAGCAAAGTCACACTGGGACTTCTGGGGCCTTTGGGAGAGAGAGGCCGGACCAACCCCAGCCATCTGCTGTTCTCTCAGAAATCAGGAGCCCATTTTCCAGCTGAGAGATGCACAGCCCAGAGTCAGGGAATCCACAGAGCACAGAAGGCAGGCAAGTGCACAGGCCACGCGCACCCTGTCCGTTACCCTCTGGAAGGGGAGGACCACGGTTACAGATGCAGGCATATGTCTCCTTCCTGCCCCACCGAATTGTTACCCAGTGTGGTGGCATGGTGGGCTGTGGGCTTTGGGGAAAGGTGTTCGTGGGGAAATGGGGGGCGGGGGAGGGGACAGACGTACTTCTTTCACGCCCCGAATTACAGGTATCAGTGCATCCTCTTGGGGAGGGGAGCACGTGATGTGAGCTTCTAGAACCAATGAACCTAAAATGCTTCACTTGTTTTTCAGCTTTTGTGGAGTTTTGAGGTCTGTTTTCTCTATGTGAAAAGCCCCTGAAGTTCCTCTCTAACACTTTACAATGTTAGGTTTACAGTGGTAGGTGTTTGTAACAAAACCTTTATCTGGAAAGAAAAGCCCACCAGGGGTTGGCCAACCATGGCTTTGCCAGAGCATTCACATGAACACCAGGCTCTTGCAATCCCAATACAACCCTTCCGCTCCTAAGATAACGGCACAACAGGTAAGATCTGGAGGAAATCCCAGCGCCTCCCCAGGAGAATAGGAGCCCAGATTTGTTTGAGCCTCAGAGAGAGGTTTGGCAATAATTAGCCTAAAGTATTTGACTATTATGTCATACTGATTCCTTTGTCTCCGTCAAGTCAGGGATGCCATCCCCAAGCACCCAGGGGTATCAGTTCTCAGTTTAGGCATCAATTTTCATCGCCATTTATTTATTTCTTCCAGTCAGCGGTCAGGAACTCTGGTCACATTTTCAAAGCTGTTCTTATTCACAGTAATTTTTTTTTTCCCCAGAAGTGGTGACTAGTGTTGTATTCTTTCTGGAAACAAAAAATGGCAGTTCTGATACTGAAGCCTTCTAGTGGGCTGTTTAAAAGCTACTCTTAATTCAGAAGCTACTTAAAGCTAGGGACATTGCATTTGGGTACAATGGCTTCAAGCAAAGAGTAATTTGACTACTCAACTAATTACCATCTTGTCCACTTTGGACCTTTCTGCAGGATTCGTTTTTTTACCCTTTATTAAACTCTCCCAACAGCAAACATATTTCTCTTAGCAGAATGGCAAAACTAGTGGTTTAGCTTACCTCCTAGGACAAAACTCAAGTGAAGGAAGAGTTTAGAATCTTTCAATCTTTTCATCTTTTCTCTTTTTGTAAGGAAATGCCTACTCATATCTGAAAAACAGTTCTACAAAACAACAGCAGACAATACACAAAGGGGCCCTAACCAGTTTGGCTCAGTAGATAGAGCATAGGCCTGCGGACTCAAGGGTCCCAGGTTCGATTCTGGTCAAGGGCATGTACCTTAGTTGTGGGTACGTACCCAGTAGGGAGTGTGTAGGAGGCAGATGATCGATGTTTCTAACTCTCTATCCCTCTCCCTTCCTCTCTGTAAAAAGATCAATAAAATATATATTTTTTAAAAATACACAATGGGGGAAAAGTAGATTTACAGTTGTGATAACACAAAACAGTTTTAAACTTGCATTATTATTTATTAATTACTGTAATTTTCCCTATAGACAACTGTAAGCCTACTTAGGCCCCCACCCTGTGCTGTTCTCCCTGGGATTTTTAGGTTCCTAACCAGTTTGCGTACCACACAATGCTCTTCCCCTTGTGTTACGTGATTCGGTTAGAGTCAGAATGTTACAAGAAGATGGTCTCTCAACATGGTGGCTCTGAGTGGGGAATGTCCCAATGATGCGTGCAATGGTCGGTTCAGAACAGTCTCTGGAAATTCTGTAACAGGAGAGATACCAGAAAGAGCAGGACAAGCTGAAAGAAGAGTGGGAAAAGGCCCAAAAGGAGGTGGAAGAGGAAGAACGCAGATACTATGAGGAGGTAGGAACTTCCCAAGAAGGAATTGGACCTTTGGTCCTAGTTCCTCGGAGGCTATCAAAGCTTTTTGTGTCTGTGGTCTGTGTGTACGTGTGGCTGTGGCTGATGATCTTCACCCTTAGCAGAGCCCATCAACCTCTTTAAAAGAGTCGTATCCCGGTGGCACTAAAAGACCACAATTCCCCCAAATTCAGTTTGTGATCCGGTGTGCTGAGTCATGATCAAGGGTGACGATATAATTATATCTGATCTCCAGTCAGAGAGTCAGGCTCTTGATTGATCTGCGAGAGAGGACGTTAGAATACCAATGTCTTTGTTAGTGTGTTTGTTTGAGCAAGCATGTTTGGTGGTGAATTAATTTTATGAGGATAATTTTGATCATCAAGGCCAAATGAGTCTTACCACTGCACTCACTCTATGGTACTGAAGAGATTTAGTAAAGAGATTTGGTACAGTAGGCTGAGTGCAGTGCTAAGGAAGGGTGGGGAGGGATATTTGGTTTTGTAGGCTTCATATTTTTTAGATGAACAAACCAGACCACGTTAGATAATTTAAAGGGAGTTACATTTTATCTATATTATCTAAAATTTGCTTATGATTAATATCATTGTGAATTTTATCTTCAATAATAATTTTTGTACATAATCCAATCCCTACAGCATTTCTAATAAGGCTTCTTGCATCTCACTAACTAATTAATTTGTGAAGACTGTTTTTCTATTAAATCAAATGCTAATTTCTAAGTCATTGCCCGTAGAGAGTATTATCTGATTTATGTGCTTTTAAAAAATAAGACCTTTTTTTTAATGCCCTGCTTGTTTGCATATAATTCTGATGTCTTTTTTCTAAAGTTCCTTAATGAAATTTTTCTCTTGACAAATATGATACTTGATTTTCCCCCCCTTTCATTACTTCCCGTTCTTCCTCTTAGGAGCGCAAAATAATTGAAGACACTGTGGTTCCATTTACTATTTCTTCAAGTTCCGCAGACCAGCTGTCGACATCCTCCTCTGTAACTGAAGGCAGTGGAACAGTGGTGAGACTATAAATTAAAAGCAGTTTGTGAAATAAACCTAAAAGAAGTACAAAATCAAACAGCCAAGTTTTCCATGAGATTAAATCCAGGACTGGCTATTTCCCTAGGTTCGTGTCAGCTACTACAATGCCATCATACACCATGGTGTTGTCATTCCATGGCCAAATCCTAGAGCCATTGCCCAGGGGGCAGTATAGTCATTGATGAGGCCAAATCTGCCCCACAGGCTGGCTACCAAGGTCTCTCTGCACTGGCTGGTTAGGTCCTAATTCATGGGCCATGTGCTGGGAAAACTTCTTTCTGCCCATCATTCGTTCATTCAGTAGACATGCATTCCTCTCTGCCATAGCACATGTCCCTTTGCACCGGTGGCAGCAACAGGATGGCAACAGCAGGCTCTCCACCTGCCTCCATCAAAGTTGCCTCTAACCCACTCTTAAAATTCCACATGAAATTTACATGTGTCTTCAAGGGCTGGAGAGAGCCCTGAACAGCTGGTCTACCTCCACATCCCCCAAACAAGGTCATGGAGGTCGTGGACAGAAGTCATACCAAACCCTGGATAGTCCATAATCTGCATTAAAGAAAATAATGGTGGGCACTAGAAAAGCCATTTGTCCTGAAATTAGCAGTTCTAAACTACTCCCCTCTATATTAACTTCTGAAAAAGATCCAGATTGCACGTTTATTTTAAATCGTTATAGCTCAGTTACTGTTCAATAATTTGAACAACTGTTCCTTAACTTGCAGGCAATGTGATTGGGGGGTGGGGGGAAAGCTTCAGCTATTTCATAGCCAGAGATGAGTGTTGTCCAGTGCGTTTAATTTATATTTGAGATTATCCTTGTTTTCCCTATTAGAATAAGATGGATCTGGAAAACTGTCATGAAGAAGAACAAGAGACAAGACAGAAGAAACCATTCCAGGGGGGCAACAATGGCTTGTTGCCTGAGACTAGAGAAAGTGGTCCCCTGGAGGAGAAGGGCAGGTATGCCCCACGGTTCAGGCTTTTGGCCTAAATGCGCAAAACCGGGCTCTGCCTGTTCTCTCCCAGGAAGTGCTCATTGCTGATGCAAATATATTCGCCTTTGAAATGATCATTCCAGTAATACATTACATATTGCTTGAACACATTCTAATGACTCTGAAGTCAGTGTCCTTATGCAATTGAATATAAATAGCCTGATTTTTAAATAGGCGAAGCCTTTTTCAAATGAGAGGCAACAGTGTAGATCAGAGAAGGGGCATGTGGCCCATTCAAAGCCCTAAACCTAAACATTGCTCACCTGAAATGATTAATGTGTCTGGAGAGACAGAGGTTGAAGACATGTGCTGGGGTTCCCCCAACTGTGGTTTCACTGTGGACTTGAACCCTGCTGTTAGTATCCTCTGAGCTGTGAGAAGCCACATTTACTCTGTGTGATAATATAAAGAACAACCAACAAATTGATTGGGTGTGGGTAAACCCGTCTCCCCACACACACTCATGGGTTCTAGTCTATTCCATGGGAGCAGAATCGGATTGTAGCTTTGGGCAATGGTAAGTTTGTTGCTTCCACCCCACAGCTAACCTAGAAGAGACCCACAGAAACCCAGGAGGCTCTGCCATGAGCACGTTCTTTATGAGACAGATGTTTGCCTCTGCAGCTCTGAGATACTAGACAGATATTGATAAGTGTGCATGCCGGACCAGGTTGTATGTACACATATACACACCATCTTCAGAGGGGCCTGAAGACAGGAATGGCTATCTTAGGGTTCTTTTCAAAGACTGGTGAATTTGGGGTTGGCTGATAGCTGAGCTCTTCTGGTGGAATTTGCTCTGAGAATCCTCCTGTGCCCGTCAGCTAGAAGACTGGGTGAGATGTAGGGTATAGGGCAGTGATGGCGAATCTAGGGCACGCGTGTCAGAGGTGACACGCGAAGTCATTTTTTTGGTTGATTTTTTCTTTGTTAAATGGCATTTAAATATATAAAATAAATATCAAAAATATAAGTCTTTGTTTTACTATGGTTGCAAATATCAAAAAAATTTCTATATGTGACACGGCACCAGAGTTAAGTTAGGGTTTTTCAAAATGCTGACACGCCGAGCTCAAAAGGTTCGCCATCACAGGTACAGGGGCTCGGGGCCCACGTCCAGAGTCTGCAGAGCCCTTGGAATAGCACATCTGCTTCCAGTTAACACTGTTTAAAGGGACTTTCCAGTTTTATGAAATGAAAGCCACCCATCAGGAATTTTTGAGCACCACTGATAAGCATTTTTTGTGAGTTTTTTATAGTTCTCCAAACAGCCTCTATTGTTGCCAGACCCTTTAAAATCTCTTCAACCTCTCCTTTCTTTATACACAGACGCTATAAAAAGGCTTTGTAGATAACCATGGGCTGCCAGAGTCCCACGTGGTCCAAATGATTTCTCCAATAAGCCCTCTCATAAAAATCTGGGGGAGTCCAGGAGTTAGCTCAGGCTTCTCTTGAAATTATTAGAATAAATTGCTTTGTGGGCAGGGAGGTGGGAAAGACATCAGAAATGATGGTTTCTCAAGCTTGTTAAATTGATGGATAATAAAAACGAGTAGCAGTTCAGAGCATTTAAACCTAGTTTAAAATAAAAAAACAAATAAGCATTAGTTAGCCCTCATTTGTTTGTTTTTTTCATATTGAAATTGGTACTTCCATACCCTAAAGCAGTGGTCGGCAAACTGCGGCTCACGAGCCACATGCGGCTCTTTGGCCCCTTGAGTGTGGCTCTCCCACAAAATACTGACTTCTGCGCATGGGCCACGAAGTTTCAATCGCACTGTACGTGCACGCCCGCACGTGGTATTTTGTGGAAGAGTCACACTCAAGGAGCCAAAGAGCCGCATGTGGCTCACGAGCCGCAGTTTGCCAACCACTGCCCTAAAGGATAAGATCAATAATTTTAGTTCAGTTGCTTTTATCTCTGCTCTGAAACATACTGATTTATTTTAACAGACTTATTCAAGGGGCCTTGACTGATTCTGAGAACCCTGTATCAAAAGGAACCCATCAGAATGATCAGCTGGATACAGAAGCTGGGGCCCCACACTGTGGGGTGAACCCGCAGCTAGCTCAGGGTAAGGAAGGAGAAGACCAACCGATGCTTAAATTATTGTATGACAGCCCCGCCTGTCATCCAGACAGAAATGATTTCTATTGGCTACAGGCTTCTCTTCTAGCTTTTGCTCTACAGCACCGTGAATAAACTCCCACCGCCAAGTGCCAGCCTCTCCGCGGACTCACCTTGAGCCCTCAGCAGGCGTTAGCACTTTAAAGAAAGGTGACTTGCTAAGCAAAGGTGATGTTACTGAGCACTAAGCTTATGTTCTTGATTGGCCTCAGGTCCATCCCAGAATCAGCAGGTATCAAACCCGCCAGTGAACACTTTAGAAGATGTGAAGCCAAAAACCCTCCCATTGGATAACAGCATTAACCATCAGATTGAGTCACCGAGTGAAAGGCGGAAGTGAGTAACCAAAGACAGATGTGGAATTCCTTTTTTTTTTAATGTATTGACTAAGAAAGGGAAAATGAAAAGGTGTGTGATAGCAAGGTGTTCGCAGCATTTTCGTGCCTTCTCGCTCTTGAATCTCATTGATTCACGTTAACAAACGTTTATGGAAATTTAGGACAGTCTCCCAGACAAGTAATACACTCTGAGCTTATCAATTTGAAAGAGGCAAAGTAATGCTTTTAACCCACAAATCTAAACATTGAAAAGAATTTGCAGGCATGTTGTATAAACAATTTCTTTAAGTGAGTTAAAATGTCTCAAAATCTATTGACAAATATTCATTATCATTCTCTCCGTTTTAGGTAGCTACCTTAGGCTATATTTTAATTTTGTAAGATTTCTACTTTTTTACAATAGTTTCTGATATTTTTTATACATTTCAATATAACAGGCACTGTGTTGAAGGGCTTACATAGCTTTTCGCATCTTTTCATCAATTAACTCACTGAGCTCTCCCAATAACTTCAACTGAGTTATTATTCCATTTTTCAGAGGAGGAAATAGAGGCTCAAGGAAATTAAATAACTTATTCAAAGGACTTGATGGTTAAGTGGTAGAAGAATTCAAAATTATACCACAGTTCAATGGTAAGATCATATGTAAACCAGAGGTTCTTTGTAATCAGCTTTTAAAATACAACATTCATTATACTTTAGCAAGTCCTCTACCTGGAGCTAGACCACCTGGATTCAGATTTTGACTCTGCCACTTGCCTGTGTAGGGCTTTGAGCAAGTTGATTAATCTTTCCCTGCTTCAGTTTCTTCATGTATAAAATGGCAATAATAATACTACCTACGTGTGAAGTTTTGTACCTGACGAATAATAAGTACTATGTGGTACAGCTGGTGATAGACAATGAGGATGGTGATGAGGATGAGGATGACTTGTTTTATAAGTTCAACTTGTTACCTTATTTTTCTGTTACATTTTAAAAATGGTATTTGAACCATTTCCCCCTTTTCTCTTATATCTACCCAATTTTGTTCCTATGTGCCTAGATGACACTCGGAATAAATAGAAACTGAAATCACACAGAAGTAATCATGATTGTTATTGATTATTGCAGTGATTTCCAACCATTTTTTAGGCACTGGTACTTATCATCTAGGGCAGCGGTTCTCAACCTGTGGGTTGTGACCCCTTTGGCGGTCGAATGACCCTTTCACATTACGATTTACATTACGATTCATAACAGTAGCAGCATTATAGTTATGCAGTAGCAATGAAAATAATTTTATGGTTGGGTCATAACATGAGGAACTGTATTTAAAGGGCCAGAAGGTTGAGAACCACTGCTCTAGGGTATTACCTGAAAACATGACATTTTGTTTTCTTGGTTTTTTGTTTTTGTTTTTTTTAATATATTTTTATTGATTTCAGAGAGGAAGGGAGAGGGAGACAGAGAGAAAAACATCCATGATGAGAGAGAATCATGGATCGGCTGCCTCTTGCACACCCTGCACTGGGGATTGAGCCCACAAGCCAGACATGTGCCCTAACCAGGAATTGAACCCAGGACCCTTCAGTCCACAAGTCGCCGCTCTAGCCACTGAGCCACACCAACCAGGGCAAACATGATATTTTGGAGGAGGAGGTGTGGGTGGGCAGGGGGCTGGTGGAGTTATTCCAAAACCAGTTAGAAGACAGGTGGAGTCGTGCTCTGTTCACTCCTGTGTTGGCATTTCTCTTAGCCTCATTTTTCCTCTGTGTTCCGCCCCTTTCTGTACAAATGAAATGAACCTTTATAAGCAAGAGCCCAGAACTGACAGCTAATAACAGGCAGGGTGTGCAACCAGCCACACCTGGGAAACCGTTCTGGTAGCGTCTGGCTGGGGACCATTGTGCTCTGTAGATGCCAATGCCATAGCCGTTATTAAATGTTGTCAACTCCACCCCTCATCACATGTCCTCAGAATGAATGTATTGATGGGGGTGGAAGCTGCCCCACTGGAAAATACCTCCTTGAAGTTCTGCCCTTTCTCTCTGGGCTCTCTGCACACGCCCTTTCCTAAATCCCTACTCACCTTGCCCCTCTCTCCCCAGCATCTTTGATTTTTATATCTAACTCAGCATGCAATTTTAACTATTGAAAAATTATTCTGGCTTTTCCGTTCCACAGCGCCAGCCTGGTCTGATATCGTGCAGCCATTGCATGTATAATCTTTGCCAGACGGATTTACTATTTTTGCTCTTTAGAAATAATTACCTCTAGGACACTCTGTGGTCTTTTCTTTGGTAATCAGGGAAGTATTTTATTTCCATACCTAAAATGTCTTCTCTTGTAGGGTTGGGCTTCTCTTTCCTTGTCATAATTGTTGGATCCTTTACCATGTTACAGGAAGAGCCCTCGAGAGCACTTCCAGGCGGGACACTTGTCCCCCTGTCCTCCCACCCCTCCTGGCCAGTCACCAAACCGGTACAAGAGGTCAGCAAGCCTTTCGGAGGTGGCTTTGTTTTGACTGGAGCCTGCCAAGCATAATTCGAACCGAATTAATGCTTGCCAAATGATTTCGAGAAGTTTGCCCATCAAATCGCTTTCAACACACACACACAGGCAGGAGGAGAGAGAAAGCCAAGTGCATGACGTTGGCGCGGCTGTGGCCACAGGCCTTTAATTATATTCTGTGGAAATTGCAATCTAATAATAAAATCCACCAGACAGTTGCTGGGCTCCTCAGTCGGCGCCTTCCCCTCCAAGATGGCTCGGTCCTTCTAGGCTGATGGCTCTTACAGAGAACCAGGCGGGGCCGAGCAGCGAAACTGCATCCTTCCTTCCCCTACTCAGGCTCTCAAAGGATGGCTGCCAGATATTAATTGGGCCCCATGATGTTCTTAAAAGCTGCCGAGTTCCCATTCACTGGAGAGACCAATTACTGAGGTCTACTCCAAGGTTTTTTGATTTAGACATTTCATTTAACTACTGGGTAGGGGAAAATCCTAATAAATAGGGTTTGCTCAGGGCAACTCTTTCTCTTCCCTGTTTCCTTCCTTTCTGTTTCTGCTGTCCCTCTGTATGTACCCTGTTGGCTTCTGAATGGTATTGCACATTTTCAAACTGCTTGTGTAATTCCAAGCGCTTTCCAGACAATAGGCACCGGTGCCATCTGATCTTAGCTGTGGGCAAGCCGCCCCAGGAGACAGCCAGCTTACCCCTCGCCTGGTGTTGGTCTGCTGGGTTTGATTCTTGTCCACTGGCGGGCACTGTGCTGGGGGTTAGGGGGTACAGAGGTGAGTCCAGGCAGCCCATGCCCTCGAGGGGCTTACAACTCCCGAGTGCCCAAGTTATAGTCGCAGAGCTTACACTGGAAGGAGCAGTAGAGATAATCTAGTCCAACCCTCTCATGTTGAAGTTGAAAGAGAAACCCAAAGGGAGTCCTTTGCACCAGATCCCAGAACCTCGGGACAAAGCAGGGATCTGATCCCATATTGACCTGTGGCCTGTGGGGCTGCATCACAATTGCCTCTCTATTTTTATACAAAAAAAGATTTCTTTTCTTAATAGGTAAAAGAAATGCCCTCGTGGGCCAACAAATCAATTATAGAAAATTTTAAAGTAAACTTTAGTAAGAAAATTGAAATCTTACTAAAGCTAAATTTGATCATCTTTTAGAGCTTATATAAACATGATGAATACATGGAATCATTTCAAGGCATCTGATCATTGCGATTGAATAAACAACACCTACTTCTTGTACAAATTAACTAAAACACACTTACACATGCATATATACATGCACGCCAGGTTCTCTACCACAATGGAGGCCCATTGTATTTAGTCTAGCACTTGTTTGCCAATTACATCTAATGCTTCATTGCTGCTCATTATCAGTTCAGTAACTGTCATTTCACTCATGAGATAAACATTTTTTAAATCCATGTTTTCATTTTTTTTTTTTGCATGAGGCTACATGTTTGTGTATGTAACCAACTCTTCTAAATGGGAGGTTTGATTATTATGCGTGGTTTTGACCTAGGTCTATAAGTGGGAAGAAGCTGTGCTCGTCCTGTGGGCTTCCTTTGGGAAAAGGAGCTGCGATGATCATCGAGACCCTCAACCTCTATTTTCACATCCAGTGCTTCCGGGTATGTATTCATCACGCTCCTCCTAAGTACAATATCGCGGTGTCCTTGGGCGTCGCTCTGGACTGAGACAGACCTCCTGGGAACCTTGATTGCCTTTGCTCGTGAGGCCCGCCCTTCTGAGTGTACGGAGTGTGTGTGGAGTCCAGCCTTCGGGAGGAAGCTCTCAGCTATCTTGCGTTCCTCTGGGGAGTCAGCTTAGAAGTAGCAAAGCAGGTTTGTACAATGTGTCTTCGTGAAACAGGTTTTGTTGCTGAAGAGCATCTATTCTGGCAGGAAGCTGAGAATGCTACCCTGGGAGGCCAGTGATACTTCTGCATCTTTTAGGGCATGTGAATTTATTGGGAAGGTGATATCTTGGCAGCTTCTCAAACTCTGTGACTTGATGTTGAAGATTTTCTGTCAGTTCAGTGTGCTTAGAGTTAGTGGCAAAGTTGAATGTGTCTGTGATCCCAAACTGAAGAGCACTTCCTCTGAGAAGCTGCCCTGCTCCCCCAGACTAAGTCTCTCGCCTTTGTTACAGGGCTTTACAGAACCTTTCATGGTCCGTACCACTCACTGTTGCATTGTTTAACTATCATGTCCTTTAACAAATGATCAACTCCATAAAAGCAGGAGCCATGTCTGCCTGGCTCACCACTATTTCCTCTACACCTAGCAGACATGGTGTCTGTAAACATTTTTAGATAAATGAATTAATATGTATACTGAAAATGAGGAGGCTTGGATTCTAATTCCAATTTCCTGCTAAGTAAGTGATTTAACCAGTTATAACTGATTTATTATAATATAAAATTTATAAGTTGGCCTCTGTCAGTATGTCTCATCTTTTTTTTTCTTTTTTTTTGCTCATAGACATCTTTCAAATTAATATATAATTTTTGAAACTAAACCTTCTTCCTCTGAAAGTCGTTTCTTTCTCTTTATAATCCTGATGTGCTTTCTTTGTCCTTCTTGAATTTTGATCTATGTCTTGTTGGTAGATTCCTCAGCTATAAAGCACACTTGCATTGGGTTAAAATAACTCCCACTTTACTGATAAGTTAGGGGAAAGTAAGTGAAGTTGTCCCAAAATTTAATAGCACCAGTTCTCACTGGGAAGCAAAGCTTATCTTGGACAAAACACAATATGGAGACTTAATGAGACTCAATTTATCAATATTCTCATTGAAAAATTAACCAAGATAATGCACGTCTTAAATGGTCTAAGAGTATTTTGAGGTTCAAGGCATTTACATTTTAAAATCTCATGGTAATGCCAAGATAATATGTTCCAACACCAGAGTTTTTTCTCTGAAACTTTACCAGAACTCAAAATAATAGCGGTGGCAAAAGGTCTTTGCAAATTCTCAAGAGGCAGGAGATTCCCTTTCTAAGCTGTCTAGGCCATTATTCTCTCTCTTGTCTTTCACTTCCTGGTCTGACCTGATGCTTTAAGATACATACCTGTGCAATGTAGATGCAACTGGTAACATAATTTGGATGAAGCCTCCCTCTCCCTTCAGTGACCTTAAAACATGAGTCTGAGGCTAGCCCTCTCCTCCTGAGCTCAGTCCTGCTCTCCTGGCGAGAGGCTGGCATCAGAACCAACCCCAACTTTAAGACCATTATAAACTGATGAACAAAAATAGATACAGAGGCAGAGCAACATCGAACATACTGTCAAACTACAGTGGGAAGGCCGGGGAGGGTTGGGGCGGGGCGGGGGTTAAGAGATCAACCGAAGGACTTGCATGCATGCATATAAGCATAACCAATGGACACAAGACACTGGGGGGTATGGGAGGCTAGGGGAAGGTCAAGGGGAGAAAAAAAAGGAGACATTTGTAATACTCTTTGTAATACTTTAAGCAATAAAACAATTTTTTTAAAAAAGAACCAACCCCTACTGCCACTCCTCTGGTGCACCCAGCACAGTCTATCCCACAGTTTTTGTCTGCACTCAAGCTGACTTAGCTGAAAGGAGTGCCATTCTCAGTGGATTTGTGACTCTGGGTGTCACTGCCTTTAATGTGGAAAGATAAGGTGAATAGCTATTTCCTAGGAATTCTGATCTGGCAGAACTTACCAACTCTGCTGGGAAGCATTTAGCGATTATTCACAGACAAGTTTTCATTCATAACCTGCTGCCCATGTGTTTCTTTAAAACCACTAGAATTCAATCTGTTTAAAATGGTTCATAGGTCAAATATATGGTGACAGAAGATTTGACTTTGGGTCAAATGCAATGCAATATAAAGAGGATGTCTTATAGAATTTTACACTTGAAACCTATATAAATTTATTAACCAATGAGACCCCAATAAATTTAATTTAAAAAAATAATAAAATGGTTCTTCGATCTTGATTGAGAAAAGGCATGTGCTAGAGGTTAACAACATAGGCTTTGGGATTAACCCAACGCCACTTACCGGGTTTACAACCTTGGACAAATTGGCTAACTTCTCTGCTAACTTCTCTGCACCACCGTCCTTCTCTGGAAAATGCAAGGAGTTACCATAAAATGCTAAAAGTATATTGTTGCTGTCAGTCAGTTCTTAGTGCAGCATCTAACACATAGCAGATACTCAACAAATGTGGAGGCTGTAGAAGTGATTATTGCACTATTCATGTAAAGAATAACTAAGCATCATAAAGAGATTCCTTATGCATCTTATAACCTCTGTTCTTTCTCCCCGGTAGTGTGGAATTTGCAAAGGACAACTTGGAGATGCAATGAGTGGGACGGATGTGAGGATTCGAAATGGTCTCCTAAACTGTAATGATTGCTACATGAGATCCAGAAGTAAGTACTGGGGTGAAATACCTTGAGATAAGTGAGTGCAATAGTATGTCTTTCTCGGGCCCATTTGAGGAATTCAGTTATTTCTGCCTATCAGTTAACACTCCTACCCTGAGGGAAAGATTTATTAACATCTAAGTAAAGGAAGCAATAATGAAGTAACCCCTTAATTACCACTTGTTTTCTATTAGAAGTTACTGCTTGGGTGTGACCAAATTCTTTTCATCATGAAGTGCATTAATACACCAGCAGATAAAAACTGTGGGCCAAGTTTGAGGCATTGCCTGAGCTCACCCCAGAGACTTGGGTGAGATAGAAGGCAGATATAAGGTCTGTAAAGCACTATTTGCTTGCCGAGGCCTATCTTTAGAAGACCAGCACCATTGTGGGGAGGGGTTGAAGTGTGAAGAATGGCTCTCCAGTGTTCATCAAATCAAGCACCAGCTCCTCAGTAGCTTCATGTCCTACATTCAAGAGTTTCATGACACAATATGTTGTTGGTCCCAACTAAATTTAAAGTCCCAAGAGGCCAAATGATGGGTTCTGCTCTTTGTGAATCTCGGCCCTCGTCCAAGATACCTGAGCACATCATCAGAGCTGAACAAGTATGTGCTGTCTTGAAGCTCCCTTGAGCAGCCTGCCCTCTGACCTTGTATCTGGGTTTCCTACCATAGAAGGTTCATGTCAGTTTGTGGGGCACCAGGGGGTGCTGTTGCCCAGCTGCTGTTTAGAAAATCTGAAAATAGCCAGTGGCTAACCCTCTGAATCCAGCCTCTCTCTCCATCATAAATATAGCCCTTCTGGTGCATGGCCTAGACAACAAGTGACTCTTCCATGAAAATTCATTGGTCAGAAACTCTTTCTTTAAAAGAAAAAGGGTGAGGGAATGAAGAGATGGTGTTTGAAATACAAGAACGTTTTGCTATTTCTCCAAGTAAAGGAAGTGACATTTTTATAGCTTTTTTTTATAGCTAATTTAGGATCTCTAAATCTACAAGACTAAATACTTTAAGAGTAAAAATTGAAACTAAATTATTTTATAGCTGTAGGTTTAGTATAATCTGAGAAATTTATACATTTTAATAAAATTATGTGAAATAAAAATTTAATCAAATCAGGTGATTTTGATCTATCATAAACATTTGACTTCAGAACAGTTCCAACTTAGAGATGAGCTGGTACCATCAAACTAGACTATTTATATTACATACTATATTTTTATATTATATACATTTATATCTTATATGTTTATACCAGATATTATATATCATTTACACATGTAACATCTATGTTATATATTATATATGTTTATACCATGTATATAGAGCATATATAAACATATGCTATAAATATATATTTATACCATTATAATATATATGCACATGGTATAAACATATAATATTAATATTGATACTATGTATCAAACATATAAAATCTGGTATAAATAA